TAAGAGAAGTCTAACAAGTCCTAATCAACAATCTTAAACTTTTTCAAAGCAAAAAAAAATTAAAAGCCAACAACTAAATAAGCTAGGATGAACAGAAGATAAGCAGTTATGCATGACATCCTAGCAAAGCGGTTCTTAGGAAAAGAGATGATGATCTTGCAAAATGAAATTAAACAAGCCATGAGATGAATAGACATTTAAGTATAACTTTAACAGTCTAGCATGATATTTCAACAAAAATTCAAAATGCAAAATCATAGCACAACATTTAAAACTAAACACTACTTGCTCTTAAAAACTTCTTACTAAGCGATTTTTAACATAAGCAAAGAGTAAGAGCAAAGAGAGATAGTTTAGGAAGCAAACCTTTTGTTGAGCTTTTGAACACTTAGAGCAAGCAATAAAAGAGAAGAAGAACTAGTAATTTCGAGCCTTAGGTGAGAAGAAGAGTGAGTTGAAGTGTGAAGAGAAGTGAAAGAAGATTGTTGCTTAAATAGAGAGAAAGGAGCAGAAACCAAAGGAATCAAAGGTTGGTGAGGGAACATAAGGAATCAAAAGTGTGGGGGACAAAAACAAAAGGTGTTCAGAAGCCAAGAAAGAGGTCAGAAGGAATCCCAATTAAAAATTTAAACTCCCTTGGCGCCAAACCAAAGGAGGGAAAAACTTTTTTGGAAGTTGATACACTACCTCGGATGGAGTTTCGGTCACTCATGACCGATATTACTGACCGAAATTTGCATTTTCGGTCATGAGTGATCGATACTGGAGACTGACGTGCTTTCTGGGATTTGTATCGATCATCAGTGGTCGACACACTTGACCGAAATACATCCGGCATGATTGTGTCGATCTTGAGTGATCGATACTGGTGACCGATATGATTTCAAGAATCGTATCGATCAACAGTGGTCGACACGATAGACCGAAAATCATACGGTATGTTTATGTCGACCAAGTGTGGTCGATATGAATGACCGAAAAACTTTCCCACCTTCAAACTTCTTTCCATATCGATCACAAGTGACTGATATGTTGACTAGTGTAGACTGGCTCTACTGATATCGGTCAGTCATGATCGATACTACTGACCAAAAATATGTGTATCGGTCTGTCATGACCGATACAAATGACCGATACCAGCCAGAATACACATGTTATTTGTCCCCTTCAGACTTTCTCAAACCCCAGTTTAGAATCCTGTTTCTATACACTAAAACAAAACATAAAAGATAATCTAGAAAGCATAATATATACAAAAGGATAACATGGGATTACCTCCCAAGTGTGCTTGTTTAAAGTCACTAAGCTTGACTATGATTACCTCTTTAGTTGAGGTGAGGAGAAGTTGGTGGAGCTGGAGCTCCTACCTCCTTCTTCTTCCGTACCCATTTTCCTGCTAATGGCTGGTTCTGTTTGTCCCTGGTTGACATCCCATGCCTGATCTGTCTGACACTTGGTTTGACTGGAGGCTTCATAGCCTTGGTGGTTAAGTTCTCATTGCCCTTCAAACCAGCTTCAAGCTTCAAGTTAGCATTCAGTGTCTGTCCTGGCTCAGTAGGGGAAGTATCAGCCGAAAACATATCCACAGTGAAGCACCACACATCATCTAGGTTATCTGGGAGATTCCATTGTTTACCCTCTTGCTCAAGTACTCCACAGAAGGTGAGAGAAGGAGAGTCAATTTTGTAGACCTTGAATTCATCAACATTCTTCAAGATTACAGAACCTCTTTTGAAGTCTAACTGAGCTCCTGCTGTTGCCAAGAATGGAGTGCCTAGGAGGAGAGGCACTTCTCTGGAGTATGTTTTCTCTATGACCATAAAGTCTGTTGGCACCAGCTTCTTGATCCCCAAGAGTTTGGCTAAGATGGACGGACATAACATTGACAGTTGATCCTGAGTCACATAGGGCTTTGACATTGTCAAGCATCTCCAGCTCACAAGTGATGAGGAACTTCCCTGGGTTTGGGAGTTTTGGCAATGACTTCATCATCTTACTTCTTTTCATGTCAGGCCCCACATTCTCAAGGATTGGTTCCACCACTTCCAGCTTGTCAAAAACTTCTTTCAGGAACCTGATTTGATGTTTCACCTCCATCAGAGTGGTGCCATGTGGGAGTTGTATTCCAGCATCTTCTATGTCTTGTTTGAACTTTGTGTACATCTCCATTCTAGCTTTGGTGAAGTGCATTGTGGGGTAGGAGAATGGTGGTTTACAGACTGGAGCTGAGAGTTTTTTACCGTTTGCAATAGTGCTTGAAGAATTACCCACTTGATTATGGTAAAGTTCCTTAGATTCCTGAGGAGTGTTATGAGACAGAACCATCAAGGCATGGTGTGTCTCTTGTTCCTCTTCTTCAGCATCAGGTTGTTCTGGTGTGGGGGTCTCTTCTGTAGCGGTTGGGGTTTCCTCAGCCCCCTCTTTCTGAGCAGCTTCCAGTGCTGCTCGTTCCTGTTCTTCTTCTCTGTTCAAGTGTTCATCAAAGCCACGGAGGAATGTCCCTACAACTTCCTGAGCTTCTTCATCACTGATGTTTCTTCTTCTGGATTCTCCTCCATACTCAACCCTCATCCTATCTATGTGCATCAGCATTTCTTCGATCATGATGCCTAGCTCTTCCAATGAAGCATCTTCATCAGTGAATTCCTCTTCTGCTTCCTCTGCCTCTTCAGTAAGTAGATGGCAGAATTCCTAGAGGTTGTGGACAGTTTGAGCTACATTCTTAGCGTCAGGGGTTTCAACAGGGTCTTCCCCTGTGGCATCAATAATCTCAAGTGGTGCCCACCATTGATCTTCTTCCTTGTTGGTGCCTTCTTTAAGAAAGTTCCCCTTAGTTGCATAAGTTCCAATAGGCTCCCCTCCCCCATTCAGGGTGTGAATGTCCTCATTGATTAAGGAGAGGAAGTCGTCAATGATGGCTTCTTCTTCAATAGGAGTAAAGGTAACTGTAGATTCAACAGCTTGGCAGTACTCATAGGTGGTGTCTAAGGTTTCTATCCCTGAATGCAAATCATCAGACGTGGTGTTTAGCTCAGCATGAACAGAGTCTAATTTGGTGTGCAACTCAGCAAATCGCTGATTCATCTTCAATTTTGCAAGGAGTTGTAAGTTGATGAACTCAGTGATCAAACTCTTGATATCAGCTACAGTAGAAGTAGAATCAATGAGTTGAGCTTGGGGGAGAGCAGGCGTGGGCTCAAACTGTGGGTGGGTATTGTGGCAGTCTGCAAAGTTGTTCTTAGGCAGAGGCTCTTGGTAGAAGTTGTTGCACCTTGGAGTTTCAAAACAGAGCATCTTCTCCACTTGTAGAGATGTACCTGAAATGAAAATGCTTGAAAAGGAGTGAGTAACCAAATAAAACTAAAAGCTTGATCTTAAAGATTCTACAAACTCTAATGATTCAAACTGTTTCCCAGATGGCAACGGCGCCAAATTGATACAAGGGTTTTACCCCTTGTAGGACAATTGCCCTAGCTTGTACTAGTCAGTTGCAGTATAGCATAGGGTTGTATCAATCCAAATGGGAAGAGTTGAAAGACAGAAGAGTTGAGAGTGGAATCTCTAAGTCAAGCAAGCCAGGAAAGGGGTTTTGCTGCCTAAGCAACAGTTCTAACAACCTAGGTGAAGCAAGCAGCAACAAGGTGAAAGCAAAAGCAAACTAAGCAATTCTAAGCAAGAAAAACAGAGTGAAACAGAGCAAAACAGAGCAAATTCGAAATTCAAATTAGGGAAAGACAAGTTCCTAGATGTGGTTATTGACTTTGGGGAATTTCAGACATTGATTAAGGTTGTTTCAAACTACATTGATCAAGCAGGTAAGCAAGCAATGGTGGTTCCTAGACATAGAGTTCACAACTAAGCTAGTTAGATCCAATCTCTTGGCAAATAACCCTTTGCTAAACATCTTAACAAGAACTAACTCTCATTAGTGCTAAAACATCAAGCAAGCAAGACTAATCAACTCTATTCAAGTCAAAATGCTCCTCAAACAGTCAATCTCTTGAGCCAAGGCCAGCAAATCCTCTATTAAACAGGTTCAGCATTTCATCAAACACTTGGTGGGCATAAGAGAAAGCTAACAACCTAGACCAGTTTGATCAAGACTAATCTAGCATGAATAAGAGATTAATAGAGAGGAACACATAAACAGAAGCACATAACAAGCCTTAATCTAGCCATAGATTCCCCTAATCTACCACATCTAGAAACTCTAAGGTAACTACTCACTCATAATCATGTTTAACACCAAATTACAAAGGGAGAAGATGCTAATCATGATTAAAAGAAAGATTAAAGAAAGATTAAAGCAAATACTTGATTGTATTAAACAAAGCAAAGAAATTGTCTTACAAACTAAAGAAATAGTTTAAGAACAGTATTTTTACAAGACCTCTCGAAAATATAGAAAAAGGGGCTATTTATAGCCTAAGGGAGAAAACCCTAGAAAAGTGGCAAAAGTGTAATTAAAAACAGGTTCAGGCTGGGTCAGTATCGGTTAGTTGTGTCGACCTCCAGTGACCGAAATTTATCTGTATCGGCCATCAGTGATCGACACACACGACCGTAATTAGAACGGTGTGTTTGTGTCGACCACATCAGACCGATACTGGTGATCGATACTGCTCTATTTCGGTCACCAGAGACCGAAAATCACCAGGCTCTGACCAAAAACTTCTGCAGAGATCTTCTGCTTTGATCCTTCTTGCTCCCTTTTGTCCAGCTAGCCTCCTGGATCATTCCCAAAGCTCCTCCAAGCTCCTTTAAGCTCCAAAAGCACCTAAAAACATCCAATATGCAAGAAAAAATGCAATATATACTCTAAATGCAACCTAAGTCTAAAAGGAGAAGAAAATGGGACAAAATCTAAGGGAAAATATGCAAAAGAGGACCAAAACATGTACTAAATGCAGCCCTAAATGGTGTAAATACAAGGGATATCAATAATCCTACAACAGGAAACCTCCTAGCTGAAAGGGAACATTGTGATAAGTGTTTGTAAGGCCAGGACTGCTTTCAATGCTATCCATACCTTGGTTGGGATTGATGGAAGAGAGGCCACTTCTGCTGAGGACGTGGGTAACCTCGCTGCCTCTTACTTCAGGAATATCTTGGGGCCTCCCATGCAGTTCAGAAGTTTGAGTCTTGTTCTCTTGATCTCCCATTTTACTAGAGCCCTCTGCTCACCTGAGGATGCAAGCAATCTAGCCCGTCACCTTTCCCCTGAAGAGATACAAAAAACCATCTACAGACTCAATCCCAATAAAAGTCCAGGTCCGGATGGGCTCACCTCTGGATTCTATAAAGCCTCCTGGCCAATTCTGGGTGAAGAGGTCGTCACTGCCATCTCCCGCTTCTTCTCTGACGCCTCCATGCCAGTCTCTATCAACTCAACGATCCTCACTCTCATCCCGAAGTTTCCGGGGGCAAACCATTATCATGGATTATCGTCCTATTTCTTGTTGCAACACTCTCTATAAGGTTGTCTCAAAGCTCCTAGTTGCAAAGCTCAAGCCCCTTCTCCCTCGGATAATCCTGCCAAACCAAACTGCTTTCATTAAAGGGAGATTGCTTATGGAAAACTGCCTTCTAGCCTCTGAAATTGTAAGCGGTTACCACACAAACAAGGGTCCGAAAAGGCTTACTCTGAAGATTGATATTGCTAAGGCGTTTGACTCTATCAAATGGGATTTCCTCATCCAGTGTCTTGATGCTCTTCACCTCCCTACCTCTTACATCGCATGGATCAAGGAATGCGTTACTACTCCTGCTTACTCGGTGGGTATAAATGGGCGGCTCCATAGTTATTTTAGAGGAACCAGAGGGATTAGACAAGGCGATCCTCTATCTCCTTATCTGCTTGGCCTAGCAATGAATATTCTCTCCCAAATGTTAAACGACGCTGCAGCTAATGAAACTTTCAACTACCATCCAAAATGCAAAGATGCTCAGTTGACTCACCTTTGCTTTGCTGATGACCTGCTTATCTTCTCTGATGGATCCTTGGACTCTATGCGGGGTATAGTCGACGTCCTCTCTCACTTCCAGGAGTTGTCTGGCCTGGCCATTAGCCCTGAAAAATCAGTTTTCTTCTCCAGCGGTCTCTCTGCGGCTGAAACCCAACTAATTGAGAGCTCAACTGGTATCCCACATGGTATTCTGTTAATTTGATATTTGGGTCTCCCCCTTTGCTCCAAAAAGCTCTCTATTATCAACTGTGAACCCTTCCTGCAAAGCGTCAAAAACAAAATCAGCTCCTGGACTTCAAAATACCTATCTTTTACAGGAAGGCAAGTGCTGATCAAAACAGTCATAGTCGGGATCACAAACTTTTGGTGCAGTGCTTTCGTCCTCCCAAAACAATGTATTCGCCAGATCGATTCTATGTGCAATGCGTACCTGTGGAAAGGAACTCTAGAGGGGATATTTTCGGCAAAGGTGACATGGACCTCAGTTACTTCCCCTAAAGAGGAGGGAGGGCTGGGAATTAAGAACTTCAACACTTGGAATCGAGTTTGCTCCCTCAAATTGCTCTGGCTTCTCCTCTTCAGAACTGAGTCCATCTGGGTTAACTGGATACATCAGAGTGTGATCAAAGATAAAAGCATATGGGATTTGAAAGAGAAGCAAAGTCACACCTGGCTTTTCAAAAAATTGTTGAGACTGCGGGACACAATGTTGATGTGGGTACGAATTAAACCGGGAGATGGGCGTACAACAATGTTTTGGTCAGACCCGTGGACTCCGTTTGGGCCATTGATCAAATTCATTGGTCCGATGGGACCTAGATTGTTGGGAATTTCTAGAGACGCCATTGTCGCATCCATTTGGAGAGCTAACTGTTGGCATCTTGTTCCGGCTAGATCCCAAAGCATCGAAGAGCTTCATTGCTACATGACGTTGATTACGTTCAATTCCAGCTCTGACCAACTCCTGTGGCAAATTGACGGCTCTACCAAAGCAAACTTCTCTACAAAAACCATCTATCACCAGATCAGGGAGCAAAACCAGGTCGTCGATTGGTCTCCCATTATTTGGCTCAAAAGAGGAATCTCAAAACATAAATGTCCTGCTTGGCTCTTTATCCTCAATCGCTGCCCAACCCGCGATCGCCTTCTCTCTTGGGGACTGACTATTGAGCCGCTTTGCCTTCTCTGCAATATGACTGACGAATCCAGAGACCATTTGTTCTTCGAGTGCGAGTACTCCTTCCCGGTTTGGTCGAAGCTCGCTCGGAAATTGAGATTCTCTACCACCATGCGCGACTGGAGCGGAGTTGTTGATGGACTTCTATCTATAACCCCGAATAACTCGCGCAAATACCTTATGATTCTCGCTTGGCAAGCAACCATCTATGAGATCTGGAGAGAGAGGAACAATCGGCTTCATCGCAGCATACACAAGCATCCTGACCTAATCCTCAAAGGTATTGAGCTAACAATCAATAATAGAATTTCGGCGTTCCGGTTGCAGAATCCTCATGCGGCAAGTGACGCAATGCAACTTTTGATGTCTTTCTATTGAAATTATTTCCTGTGGATTTCGGTGATCAGATGCGTTTCTGGATGTTTTTCTCTGATCTCGTCCTCTTCATTCTTTGAGTAGTTCCGAGCACAGAATAGCTGGGCTTGGTTGGGTTAGTCTCGGGCACAGAATAGCTGGGCTCGATTGGGCTTTGTTGGGTTTCGGCCCTGGTTCACTTTGGTTTCTCCTTGGATTTCTTTTTGGGCTGTATAATCTAAGGTGGGTTTATAACCACTTTTGCTTCGTTTATTTTAATGCAATCAAAAGTTCAAAAAAAAAAAAAACTGTATCAAAGTCTATCTGTAATAATATAATAAATATATATTATTGCTGCATCTTTTTATCAAAATTGATAATGCATTTCCGTTTTATTACCTATTATTTCATGAATTTTTTTTTAAATAATATTTGTATCTTTTCAGCTCTGTTTATTTTATTTTCACAACATCTATTCATTCATGAATATTTAATTTCTAAATATGATTTAATTTTACAAACTTTACTATTATCGTCACTTTCACGTTACATTTTTATCTAAATTTACATCGATTTCATTTTCTTATTATCTATGATTATGAGTGGTTTCAACATCAGTTCTTTAAAGAAAAAAGAAAAAAAAAAAATTATGGTAGCTTGGTGGTTGAGGATTCACTCTACTAGTAGGAAATCATGGTTCATATATTTTTACTGTTATTTAAACATGGCTGACCACTTGTGAATACATTTTATTGTTGTTTTCCGTTAATCCTAACACAGAAATCCGGTAGCAATATCATACCTAGTATAAAATTATTTCCTGCCGGTTTCCCAAACTAAAAATTGGTCAGATCACCATATCTGAATAAATGTCAATGAATGACACCATTGCCTAAATATATCAATGACTTTCCAATAGTAAAAACGTTTCTAGTTATTCAAATGACTGAGACCAAACGTTTCTTTGTAAAAGCTCTTTCGACAACATTTAACCATCATCATACTTTTTTATTTGATGATACATCTCCAAACTTCGGCATAGAATAAAAGACTTTAGGTTTGGGTCTACTTTATTTCATTTGATATATTATATCGATTCATCCTGACTGTGTCCGGTTTGAAGTTTTCATCATGTGTATACGCAAATCTTAATTTACAATTCAGAAGTATCTTTTTGGTATATTAATTGCTTTTTTTCTCAGTAGACATCAAATTATTAGATGAAAATTTCATTTTCGCCTATATATTTGAGGTATATTATTTTATTAAAGAAAAAATGCTCCAAAATAATCCAGAATGGAAAAATAATTAAAATTATTGTACACCCTTATATATATATATATATATATATTGAGGTTTTCCTTGTGACATAAAATATTTATTTTTTTAGTACTAGGTATATAATTCGCGCTACGCGCGAGTCTGTATTAATATTTTGGTTTATTTTTTTTAGGTATTATCTTTAAAATTATTAAAAATTATATATATTTATAGAAATTTTTATTTATATAAGAGAATTTAATATATAATGTGTAATTTATCATATTTTTAATTATAAATTTTAAAAAACTATTAGGTAAAATAATAACAACGACACCTATCGAGTTATTGATATCCCTTGTATTTACACCATTTAGGACTGTATTTAGTACATGTTTCGGTCCTTTTTTGCATGTTTTTCTTTAGCTTTTGTCCCATTTTCTTTTCCTTTTAGACTTAGGTTGCATTTAGGATATAGTTTGCATTTTCCTTGCATTTTGGATGTTTTTAGGTGCTATTGGAGCTAAAAGGAGCTTGGAGGAGTTTTGGGGATGATCCAGGATGCTAGCTTGGCAAAAGAGAGCAAGAAGGATCGAAGCAGAGAATCTCTGCAGAAATTTTCGGTCAGAGCACGGTGAACATCGGTCAAGGATGACCGATATGAAGCAGTATCGATCACCAGTATCGGTCAAGGATGACCGATACAGTATCGATCACCTGTATCGGTCAAGGGTGGCCGACACAAACACAACGAGTTGATTTCGGTCACCAGTGTCGATCACTCCAGACCGATGGGATCCGTATCGGTCACTGATGACCGACGTAACTGACCAATACGCTACCAGACTGAAGACCTTTTATTTACAGTTTTGCCGTTTTCGCTTAGACTCCTATAAATACGAAAAATCCCTAATTTCTGGGAACAAGCTTTTACCCAGCAGTTCTTTCTTTCTTGTTTAGACCCTTGGTTTTTGTAATTTAAATCTTTGCTTCATTTTAATTAAAGTTTGCTTCTTTCATCTTGTTTAAGCTCTCTAATCAAGATTAGTCATCTTCCTCTCTTTGAATTGATGGTTTTAATGGTGTTTAGTGAGTAGTTGTTTTTGAGGATTTGAGATGGGGTAGGTTTAGGGAATTTGAGACTCTATTTATGATTGCTTAGTGTTAATTTCTTTCATATCCTTTCGTGATTGCTGAGTTTAATGTTTAATTTGCCCTAGCTAAGTTGATTAAGATCTTAGGCTCATTTTATGCCCACCAAGTGTTTGATGAAATGTCTGAACTGCTTTGCAAGAGAATTGCTTATCCTAGCTCAAGAGATTTACTGTCTAGGGAGTGATTTGGCAATATAGGGTTGATAAATTTGTTTTAATGCTTGCTCTTTATCATTTCACTAATGAGAATTAGTTCTTGACTTGGTAATTAGCATAGAGATTAGTGCCAAGAGATTGAATTAGTTATATAAATGAATCCTATGCATAAGAAATAGCATTGTGTGAGTTTGTAAGCATCATAGGCTGAGTCAAGAGTTCCCTAACACCAATAATCTCATCTCAAGTCCCATCTTTTCTCTGTTTTAAGCTCTGTTTTGATATTGCTCTGTTTTTCCTCTTATTTTGATTGCTTTGCTTGCCTTTCACTCTTTGCTTTGTGTTTGCTTTAATCTTGTTTGATCACTTAGGTTGCTAGGGATTCTAAAATCCCTTTTGTATCTGCTTGAATTAGGAAATCTACTATATTCCTGCTGTTTTAATCTTCCCCTTTGGATTGACATTAAAACCCAATGCTACAATGATTAGTACAATGGGTGATTGACATAAGAGAGTCAAAACTCTTGTATCAATTATCCAACTTTGACGTACATATACATTTGATTTAGAGAAATATAATCTTGCTAAGATTTTGATATTATTTTCTGTTTTCCATAGAATTTCTATAGTTCTTTTTTTCTTGAAGGTTTATGTGTTCAAAATTTTAGTTTTTTATTGAAAGTCTTATTGATGTTGTGTACCACTGTATATATAATCCATGATTCATGTTGATTCGCATTTAATTTTGTTAGAAAGCTGTAATGATCATGCAAAACTATTTTTTCCTTCTCCATCATATATTATTTTATGTTATATTTTTATTCAGTTTTCATTGTTTTAATTGTTAAATCGAGTTGTTGTAGATTTTTTTAAATTGATAATTGATAATGGTTACTTTTTTTATACATGTATTGTTAATTGTTAATTTTTTTATTTAACTTTTAAATTTTTAAACCATATTAACATTTTCTGATTTAATAAATATGTTGATTTGGATCAATCAGATTGAGTTTACTTTTTTTGTTGGACATAATTTGTTAAATTAACTTTTAATGTTTTAATTATACTTAATAATTTTTTGTTTTGATTTAAAAGCTGATGTGGACCAATTAAATCAAGTTTTTCCATCTTAATCATACTTAACATTTTTTTATTTAATGAATATGTTGATGTGGACCAATCATATCGAGTTTTTTAATTCCATGTGGACGCTCTCAATGCATTATGACATTAACTTTTATATATTATAGATGATTAGTTTAATAAATTTTCATAAAATATTTAAGTTTATAATTTTCTGAATAGGAATATTATATATAGTTTCTTGTAGAGGTATAAGAATATATCAATGAAGTCATATTTTGCTTATGGAAGAAGGTTGCTGCTGGCTATCTATAATGTAAGCAGAAGGAGGAGGGACACGGAACTGAAACATCCAACAAACTTCACAAAGATTACAAAATGAATTGTACATAAATTGTAAGCTTGATTGAATTAATAAATTGCACATAAATTATAATTAAGGAACATATGTTCTCACGCAGGCATGTGCAGGTACATATCGCGTGAAACTATATACGTATTCTACATATATGAGAGAAGCATGATGCCGTAAATCACAAAGTGTCTAATTTTTTAATAAAAATGATTTTTGGTCGAATGTTATTTTTAAAATTATAAAACAAGACAGAGAGGTAGTGAACATGGAGAATCAAATAAGTTAAATGCAAATATACGTAAGGAGTTTACAATCTCCATGCAAGTCCCATGCACGCAAAACCGTCTATATAAACCCCTCCAAGTTCATCATTTAATCATCATCAAATTAACCTTACACAAACCATCAACGAAAGCAGAAAAGATAAAGATAACCATAGATCTCTCATCCATGGCGATTTTAAAAGTTCTCTTCTCTTTAGCCATCCTTGCAATTCTCTTTGCCGTTTCTAGTAGCCAACATGTCTGCAATCCACTCTGCAAGGCTAAAGAACCCTTCAACTGCGACAAAATTGATACCTTTAACCGAACTGGATTCCCAAAGAACTTCATTTTTGGTGCGGCTACTTCTGCATACCAGGTATAGATAGATAACATATATCGTCCTCATTCTTCATGATGGCTTTTGGCCATTCATTTATTAGCTATAACATTTTTCATGATTGATTTTATTTGTTCTACCAGATTGAAGGTTCTGCACATAGAGCACTGAATGGATGGGACTATTACACTCATAGATATCAAGGTCATTTTACGTACTACATTATTAAGACAGAGCACCTCGTATACATATTACCTTAAGAACTAGTCATGATCATATATATCTTGCTCTGTTATATATACAGAAGAAGTTCCGGATAACAGTTCAGGAGACCTTGCTTGTGATTCGTACAATCTTTATAAGGTTAGAGGAGAGGGTATCAATTAATTAATGTTAACCAATGTGCACATTACATGTGATATATTTTCCATTTTGAAACCTAATTTAACTTTACAACTTTCATATAACCTCGACAGGAGGATGTCGCACTACTAAAAAGATTGAAGGCTCAAGCATACCGATTCTCAATAGCATGGTCAAGGGTCTTACCAAGTAACTTCAAAAAACATATCTCCTTTTCTTCATCTAATTAACAAAAGAATTCGTAAAATTTTACATTATATATATGTGTGGCTGAACATTTTGGTTATATATACTAATATCAGAGGGAAGACTGATTGGAGGACTGGACGAGAATGGTATAACATACTACAACAAACTAATTAACGAGTTAGTAGCAAATGGTAAATTCTAAATTTCAATTACTTAATCATACGATTTTCATCGTTTTGTTAAATTTGTGATATAGAGATAGACACCTACTTAACATGCGTGGATGCGATTCACAGGCATAGAACCATATGTGACTATATTTCATTGGGATGTTCCCCAAACTTTGGAAGACGAATACGGAGGCTTCTTAAGCCCACGTATAGTGTAAGTCCATCGACTAATTTTGTTTTTATTAACTTGTTTTAATTCTTTGGATTTTGGTTATCGCATTATCAGATCTATCCATATTTAATATGCATGACATATGAACAGGGAGGATTTCAAAAACTACGCGGAGCTTCTATTTTCCAGATTTGGAGACAGAGTCAAATACTGGATCACTTTGAACCAGCCTTTCTCTCTTGCAACTAAAGGTTATGGAGATGGGTCGTATCCACCAGGACGATGCACAGGCTGTGAATTTGGAGGAAATTCTGGAACTAAACCTTATAAAGTTTCACATCACCAACTTCTAGCTCATGCAGAAACTGTATCTTTATACCAAAAAAGATATCAGGAATATACATAATCAGTCATCAATTTCTTATACTTTTGTGTTGTATTTTATAATCTAAATACTTTGTTTTGCAGAAATCTCAAGGTGGTAAAATAAGAACGACACTGATCAGAAGATGGTTCACCCCATTAAACGAAACTAACGATCTCGACGAGGCTGCTTCAAAACGGGCATTCTCGTTTATTGTCGGATGGTATATATGTTCAACTATATATATAGAAAGTTTTGGTCACAAGTCACAACAAACATTCTTTCATATTAATTTATGAATATGTTCATACATATATGAAGGTTTTGAGATCCATTAGTGTACGGAGATTATCCAAAGATAATGAGAGATATGGTTGGAGATAGATTGCCAAGATTCACACCTGCACAATCGGAATTAGTTAAAAGATCACTTGATTTCCTAGGTTTGAATTATTACATTACACAATATGCGACAGACACACCTATTCCGAAACTGCCTAGTGTCATAACCGATCCAGGAATTACTCTTGGATGTATGTAAAACTTCTTTGTCAAAATCATTTTATATATTAGATATATTCATTAGCTCATCTCATTTTTCTATATAATTGGTTTCAGATTATCGCAATGGAATTTCTATTGGCGTTCAGGCCCCTAGCTTCGTGTACTATCCTCCAGGATTCCGTATGATTCTAAGTCACATCAGACAAAACTACGGAAACCCACTTACCTACATCACCGAAAATGGTACGTACATGTTATTTTGCATTGCATTCAAATGTATGTTTAACCATACGTGTTTATTATCAAATCTTGTGTAAAAATCATTTTCAGGAGTTGCTGATTATGGAAACTTAACGCTTCCAGATGCTCTTGCCGACAACGGACGAATTCAAAATCATTGCAGCCATCTTTCGTGTCTCAAATGCTCCATCGAGTGAGTTATATATAACTCGCGTTCTATTTTATATAGTTCTTTTTGTTAGAATTAATAATGATGCTAATGTACATCGACATTCTTTTAAATGTATATTGTAGCGAGGGATCCAACGTAAGAGGATATTTTGCATGGTCATTGATGGACAATTACGAATTTGGAAATGGTTACACTCTACGGTTTGGTATGAACTGGTTCAACTTCACTAATCCTATTGATCGAAGAGAAAAGGATTCTGGCAAATGGTTCTCTAAATTCATCGCAAAATAAAAAGGGGAACGATAGATGTAAATAATTACATGTATACAACCTCCAAATCTAATAGCTAATGTATACTATATGTATTGTTTATCTTTTCAAGCTGTTATGTGTCGTTGTATGTAACTTTGTTAATTGCGCGTTGTAATAATTTGATCTTAATTCTCAGTGAATTCATAAATAAATTATTCTTTTATGAAGCTTGTGTTGTTCTTGTTTTATATCTTGCTAAGTTTGGTAAAGACAAAAGAGGTGCATTTTTCATATTTTTTCATATTTTTTATAGAGTTAAAAAAAAAAAATTTAGTCGTAAACTAGAAACTTTGTTAACTTGGAGTCTAATAACCATTTTTACAACGATTAGAAGCAGAGCTTACTACGTTGGACACTACGAGTGGATTGTCCTTTCGGAGAAAGAGAAAGTTCAAAAACTCTAGTGTACTCGAAGTATCTTGCGTAAACTCCACACCTAATAAATATGATTGTCTCAACAAGGATCTTGAATTAAACTTAACTCCTATTTTAGACCCTGACAAAATATGCTAGATGCAATTTTGCTTTGATCTTCCCTTATAATACAGAAAAAGAAAAGAAAGTAAAACTTGGTTTAAGAATGGCAACTAGAGTTTCAAAAAGAACAATTACATTTTGCAGCCTCATAAAACGTTTTCTAACAAGGAACTGAATCGTGAGCATTCTTAAGCTAAGAAGAAAAGATAAAGAAAAGAAAAATCAACAGAAAAAATACAAACACCATAAAAAAAGTAGGAAAGAAAATCAACTAAGTGAAGAAAAAATAGGAGAGCTGTATCGAAACTGTCTTTGTTCAGGCGTTTTAAAGAAAAGAGTCTATGGTTTCTTTGACCAATACTCTCTCGAAAGAGACCACACGCCCAAATGAATAAAAGAGTCAACAAGAGAGAGTCTAAACTACTCTAAGAGACCATCAACCGTATTTAGAACAGATGAAAATCTCAAGGTAACTAGATTGAACGTCTTGAGTTTGATTTCAGAGTTATGTGGCTCAAACGGTCAATTGGTTGAGTTGGTAGATTCCCAAGTATTGGTGAGTTTGCACATTTCCAAACCTCTTTTCCTTTCTTAGATTTTTGTTTTGTTTGAGGACAAACAAAGATTTAAGTCTGGAAAGTTGATAGCACCCATATTTTACTCATTTTTACTATTATAAGTGGCTGCTTATTTAACCCTTTGACTAAGGTTTTAATGTATAGACACTAGATTTCGAGTATTTGTATGGTCAAGACTATTTTCAGGGAAACTTAACAAAAATGATACATAATCGAGCAAAAAGGAACATTCCAAGAATCAGTGCAAGTTGGCTCAAGTCTAGCTTAAAATTGCAACCTTCCCACAATGAGATCGAGCTATATATTGGCAACAAGATAGCATAAACTACTTTCTTTCATGCTGAAGTAATTTGAAGAAAATCCCACGGTTGGATCTCAGGATATAAGGCAAGCAAGAAGGCTCGTCAAGTAGCATAAGACGAGTCCAGACGACAAGCTGCCGCGCCAAGGACCCCCTCCTGTCGTGCCACACCTCGTCACTTGTAGAGCAGCTTTTAAAAGATGTTTTCCAAGCTCATTCGCAGTCCAACTCATTTTCTGAGACATCAGACGAAAGCTTGACCTAATGGACGCCCTAGAAGACTTCAAGATTTATAAATACTTAGCTCTGGAGTTTTATTTTCATTCAAAGGTATCAGAAGTTTAGACTAAGAGAAAGCATGCTAGAGGTGTAACCGAGAGGTACACTTCGAACACGCAGCCACCAAAAGTCTAGTTTTTTTACTTTTGTTCTTTGTTCATTAAGGGAGATATATCTATTCTTAAACCCTTTTTCTTTCAACACAATTCGTTTCATGCAACCTCTTTCATCTCAGATTTTTTTTCTTTTTACTATGCATGAGTAGTTGACTTTCATTGGGATGATTTTCAATGGGTTCTTAGGAGAATTTCATTAACTGTTTTTATGCATCTTTTCATACTGCATGTATTTAGAGTCATGAACTAGAAACTGATCTTAGGATTTTCAGAGCCACGAGATATACTGAATTTGTCAACCAAAACTTGCATAAACGGTCGAACATGTCGTAAGGTGCTTATTGCTCATTTATAGGGCTTCGTGAATGTTATAAAGAACCTGTGCAGATATTATGTGTGTTGTGTGCCTAACGGGATTGCCGCATGAAGCCCCCAACACAAAGAAAATTTATTTTATAAGAGCATTTAAGTTATGAAACAATGATTCAAGTTTGTGAAAATTTCTTCTAGTCTCGTTCGCTTTTGTCTAAGTGTTTAATCTCTAATCCGAACCCCTAAAAATTTCAGGAAGAATCCCAATGCATCCCAAGTAAGCCTATTATTTACTTGCACTGCATTTACTTCTATGCACTTTTTCTTTTAAATCTAATTTCTTTTGCTCATTTTATATAGGTTTAGGCGAGAGCCAATCTATATAAACGATTGCTTTGCTCTTTTTTATGTATTTTCTTTGCAGATTGTGACACAACAAACCAAACCTTAAAACCCCCAACGTTTTTGGTTACTCTTTCCTACCTGTTCAGCAACAGACCTCTCTGTGGTTTCATCCCTAAGTACTATATCACATGTTGTGCACTTGCAACTTAAAGCTTTTATAAATTTAAAACTCGAGAAAGGCATCCCAAATTCTAATAGTTAATTCAGGCCTCATCAGTAGACCGAGTAATAAGCATTGGCAAGCCACCAAGCATGTCCTTGGATACCTTGCTGGAAACACATCACATGGTATATTCATTTGCACTGATTCACCAATCACATTATATACGTATGCAGACGCAGATTGGACAGGGGATACACATGATTTTGTCTCGACAAATGGCTATCTACTATACCTTGGACACACACCAATTGCAAGAAACAGACATGCGATCGTCTACGAAAGTAGAGTACCGAGCCCTTGCAAATACAGCCTCTGAAGTGAGATAGGTTTGCTCTCTTCTCACAGAACTTGGCATTCACTTACCAGCCTCTCATGTGATCTACTTTGATAATATTGGAGATACATACCTTAGTGCCAATCCCGTTTTTCACTTCCGCATGAAGCATCTTGCTCTCGACTATCATTTTATTTGTGATAATGTTCAGTCGGGTGCTTTGAGAGTCGCTCATATTTCAACCAAAATCCAACTTGCGGACGCTCTTACAAGCCTCTACCACGTCTACGTTCCCAAGAACTCTCAGACAAGACTGGAGTAAAAAACTTTCTCCATCTTAAGGGGGTGTTTAAAGTATATATATGTAAATGATAGAATAGTCAACAATCAATACCTAATCTCTTATATGTAGACTATATATATATATTGTATCTTAGTCATATACTAAAAGAATCATTCAGCCTCTAATCTTATATGTCAAATAAATAAAATTTGTTTTGTAAAATATTAGTTTAGATAAGTTTTTAAAAAATATTTAAGTTTATTATTTTCTGAATAAAAATACTATAGTTTCTTGTAGAGGTAATGAGACAAGTCATATTTTGCTTATGGAACCAAAGTTGCTGCTGACTATAATGTATCCTAAAGGAGAAGGGACAAGGAACTTAAACCTTCAACAAACTTCACAAAGATTCAAAATATGATTAAGATATGAATTGTACATAAACTATAAGTTTAATTGAATTAATAAATTGCACATAAATTATAATTAAGGAACATATATTCTCACGCAGGCATGAACAGCTACATATCGTGTGAAGTTATATACGTATTCTACCTATATGAGAGAAAGCATGATGCCGTAAAACCCAAGTTGTCTAATTTCTTTTATTAGGAATGATTCAGTTTTTGGTTAAATGTTATTTTAAAAATACAAAACAAGACAGCGAGGTAGAGAACATAAAGGATCAAATAAGTTAAATGCAAATATACGTAAGGAGTTTACTTCAATCTCCATGCAAGTCCCATGCACGCGAAACCTCCTATATAAACCCCTCCAAATTCATCATATAATCATCATCAAATTAACCTTACACAAAGCATCGACGAAAGCAAAAAAAGATAAAGATAACCATAGATCTATCATCCATGGAAATTCCAAAAGCTATCTTCTCTTTAGCCATCCTTGTCATTCTCTTTGCCGTTTCGAGTAGCCAACATGTCTGCAATCCACTATGCAAGGCTAAAGAACCATTCAACTGCGACAAAATTGATACATTCAACCGAACTGGATTCCCAAAGAACTTCATTTTTGGTGCGGCTACTTCTGCATACCAGGTATAGATAGATAACATATATCGTCCTCATCCTTCATGATGGCTTTTGGCCATTGATTTCTAGCTATAATATTTTTCATGATTGATTTTATTTGTTCTACCAGATTGAAGGTGCTGCACATAGAGCACTGAATGGATGGGACTATTACACCCATAGATATCCAGGTCATTTTACACTACATTATTAAGAACGGAGCACCTCGTATACATATTACCTTAAGAACTAGTCATGCTCATATCTTGCTCTGTTATATATACAGAAAAAGTTCCGGATAACAGTTCAGGAGACCTTGCTTGTGATTCGTACAATCTTTATAAGGTGAGAGGAGAGGGTATCAATTAATTGATGAATCAATGTGTAGATTACATGTGATATATTTCACATTTTGAAACCTAATTTAACTTGACAACATTCATATAACCTCAACAGGACGATGTCGCACTACTAAAAAGATTGAAGGCTCAAGCATACCGATTCTCAATAGCGTGGTCAAGGGTCTTACCAAGTAACTACAAAAACATATCTCCTTTTCTTCATCTAATTAACAAAAGAATTCGTAGAATTTTACATTTATATATGGCTGAACTTTGTGAGTATATATACTAATCTTAGAGGGAAAACTGATTGGAGGACTGGACGAGAATGGTATAACATACTACAACAATCTCATCAACGAGTTAGTAGCAAATGGTAAATTCTAAATTTAACTTAATTATACGATTTAAATCATTTTGTTATAATTGTGATATATAGATAGACACTCACTTAACATGCGTGGATACGATTCACAGGCATAGAACCATATGTGACTATATTTCATTGGGATGTTCCCCAAACTTTGGAAGACGAATACGGAGGCTTCTTAAGCCCACGTATAGTGTAAGTCCATCAACTAATTTTGTTTCTTCTAATTTATTAACTTGTTTTAATTCTTTGGATTTTGGTTATCGCATTATCAGATCTATCCATATTTAATATGCATGACACATGAACAGGGAGGATTTCAAAAACTACGCGGAGCTTCTATTTTCCAGATTCGGAGACAGAGTCAAATACTGGATCACTTTGAACCAGCCTTTCTCTCTTGCAACTAAAGGTTATGGAGATGGATCGTATCCACCAGGACGATGCACAGGCTGTGAATTTGGAGGAAATTCTGGAACTGAACCTTATAAAGTTGCACATCACCAACTTCTAGCTCATGCAGAAACTGTATCTTTATACCGAAAAAGATATCAGGTATATACATAATCAGTCATAAATTTCTTTTACTTTTGTGTTGTATTTTATAATCTGAATACTTTGTTTTGCAGAAATCTCAAGGTGGTAAGATAGGAACGACACTCATCGGAAGATGGTTCACCCCATTAAACGAAACTAGCGATCTCGACAAAGCTGCTTCAAAGCGGGCATTCTCTTTTATTGTCGGATGGTATATATGTTCAACTATATATATAGAAAGTTTTGGTCACAAGTCACAACAAACATTCTTTCATATTAATTTATGAATATGTTCATACATATATGAAGGTTCTTAGATCCATTGGTGTACGGAGACTATCCAAAGATAATGAGAGATATGGTTGGAGATAGATTGCCAAGATTCACACCTGCACAATCGGAATTAGTTAAAGGATCACTTGATTTCCTAGGTTTGAACTATTAGGTTACACAATATGCGACAGACGCACCTATTCCGAAACTGCCTAGTGTCATAACCGATCCAAGAGTTACTCTTGGATGTATGTAAAACTTATTTGTCAAAAACATTTTATATATTAGATATATTCATTAGCTCATCTCATTTTTCTATATAATTGGTTTCAGATTATCGTAATGGAATTCCTATTGGCGTTCAGGCTCCTAGCTTTGTGTACTATCCTCCAGGATTTCGTATGATTCTAAGTCACATCAGACAAAACTACGGAAACCCACTTACCTACATCACGGAAAATGGTACGTACGTATCATTTTGCATTGCATTCTAATGTATGTTTAACCATCAAATCAATTATAAATCATTTTCAGGAGTTGCTGATTATGGAAACTTAACGCTTCCAGATGCTCTTGCCGACAACGGACGAATTCAAAATCATTGCAGCCATCTTTCGTGTCTCAAATGCTCCATCGAGTAAGTTATATATATATATAGGTCGCGTTCTATTTTATATACATATTTTTTTAGTAATAATGCTAATGTACATCGTCATCGACATTCTTTTAAATGTATATTCTAGTGAGGGATCCAACGTAAGAGGATATTTTGCATGGTCATTGATGGACAATTACGAATTCGGAAATGGTTACACTCTCCGGTTTGGTATGAACTGGGTCAACTTCACTAATCCTATTGATCGAAGAGAAAAGGATTCTGGCAAATGGTTCTCTAAATTCGTCGCAAAATAAAACGGGGAAGCGATAGACGTAAGTTAATTACATGTATCCAACCTCCAAATCTAATAACTATTGTACTATATGTGTGTATTGTTTATCTTTTAAAGCTTGTATGTGTCGTGCATGTTGTTAATTGCACGTTGTAATAATCTGGCCTTAATTCTCGGTCAATTCATATATAAATCAAAATTTCTATGAACCTTGTGTTATTCTTGTTCTCTTGCTAAGTATACCATCTCTAAAATATATAGCCAAGTCAAATCATTCGGTCAGTTCATAAATTTGGAGAAGAGATAACCAACCGTTGGCTATTATTTCAAGTTCGTTTAAGCATTAGTTAAGGCGTTATAATCAAAGTAATCCCAAAACAATGTCATAATTCCCAATTAATGATTAAAATGCAAGACTTATTAAATACACAAAAACTAGAGTAAACAGATTGCGATTCCTCGTGTATCGTCCTTGTTGATATTAATCATCAAAACAAATAAATTAACATACTTATTAAAAAAAGATTAAAAAAACAAATAAATAAAATGCGATTCCTCGTGTTCAGACTCAGTGCGATGATACAATATAAAATTATATATATTCTCCACAGACAAGTAAACCCAACCACTCAAGTAAATAAAGCCACCGACGAAGCTTCTCTAATTCGGGCACCCACGACGCGATGCCCCGACAACTCAAAATGCTGCCCGTTGAGCTGTAAATCAAATTACCCTATACGACATCGTTTTAGCTCCACTAAACGTGTTTCCTTGTTTTTTACTCCTCTTCAGACAGTAGTTACGGTGCAGTTCTTGGTGATGGCTATATGCTTATTGAGATTCTTGTGTTCGAAGTTGATGTTACACTCGATTTTCTTGAGAAACTTAGGCTGCACTAACCTCCCCAACACGTAAGCTCGTGACCGGACGACGAACCTGAGCTTCATTGGCACGGGCGCAGGAGGTGCCGGCGGCAGAGGAATAACGACCGGAGCTCCTTTCTTCTTCTTAGGTTTCGGAAGAGGAGCTGGAGGCGCCGGCGGGATTAAAGTCGAACCACTTCCATATAACGGAATCTTCTCTCCGATCACATGTACCAACACCGTTCTTTGGCTCTTCCTCGACTGATAAAACTTCTTAATCTGCAATCAAAAATAGAAATCAAAACCTAATTTAGACCAGTGAGCCTATGCTAATCTTCTCAACGATTCGATTTGGTTAAGACTTACGGATCCAGAGCCGATTTTCATCTGAGAGAAGCTGAGATCGATGGGAGTTGAAGTTACATGAACGCCAAAGAAAGTTCCTGTGTTTCGATACAACATTCTCAGAGTCGCGTTCATGGTGATCATATCGGTTCCTACTCCACCAGCATCTTGACCTGCTTGGATCTTGAGTGTCTCGAATGTTATACTCTGCACAAAATCAATCGAACATTCACCAGAAATCAATTATACATTTCAGATCTGAGAAATCGATTTCTACATCAGATTTGGAATTTTAAGAGTTCGGATCTGAATAAATTGAATCAAAGAGTTTCTAATTTCGACTCTCGATCTAAACATTTGGAACACGATTAAGCGAATCTAAAGCTAAGAGTAAGCAAAATCGTGAATCTAGGGTTTTCTGAAATTGGAAACAAACCTTGACTGTGATTTTTGGTTTCTGAGGTTTAGCAGCTCCATAGAGAATTAGAGAGAAGAAACCAAAGAGTACGAAGAATCCAACGATGAAGGCTAAGACATAGCAACGGCGAGGAACACCACCGTCTCTCTCGCCGTCATCTAACAGACCTTCTTCCTCAATCACCGCACACTCTTTCCACTGCTTCTCTCCGCCGTGACCTTTCCGCTTCGAGCCATCGTTAGGGTTGACTTTCCGAGACCCAGGCTTCAGGGAACCGGAGAATCGGGTGGAGGAGGATTCTCGTGAGTGACGGCCCATGGAGGATTGAGAATGCGGCGGAGATCCCATCGGACTCAGTACCGGAGTTGAGTGGAACGATGTCGCCGTTTTCTCTCCGTCGTGCGAGTCGCGTGACGGCGATTGGACGTAGTAGACTGGCCGGCGTGGAGATCTGGCCGGTGACGACGCCGCGAGGCTCGTCACCTCGGAGTCGGTTTTGGCGTGCATCTCCGATTTGGAAGATGGAAAGAGCAGAAGCTTCCTCTTGAGGACTGAAAATGGAGGGAGAAGGAGAAAAGGAAAGTGAAGCCTGTAAATGAAACGATGACTCGATGTGTTTGTGGATTTTAAGGCTATGCTTTGTAAAATTTACCCAAACGCGTTCGTCATTATACAATTATGGACTTTATATTATTAGTCTTAAAAGTATATTAATTAGCAGGAAAAACATAAATGTACTTCTTTTTTTTAACATACAATTAAATTCCAATCGTAAAAATCCATTTCCGAAAGACAACGTTCTATCTTTTCGGCTGAAAATAAATCGTTTTTTTCTTCGTTCATTGATTTGCTTGCCATTAATATTTTTAAGGTGGTTACCACAAATGATTAGAAGAGGAGACATGGAAGAGCTTGTAAAAGAAGTCCTATCTGCTTTGTTACAAGTCAATATATCAATCTAACATATATTAAACAGGAAGCATTAGTAGTTTATATGTCATTATCTCAGAATTTTAAATTTTTTAAATTTTAATAATAATTAAAAACTTAAATAATTTATTTTTACAACTAAACACAATTATTCCTACAACCAAACAAAAACTTCTCTAATTATTTATTTTGTAATTACATTTAATGTTTTAAAAATCTGTAATTAATATTTAAGTTTTTTGTATATAATTTAAACAATTCGATTTAAATAAATATGACAGAAAATTTAAATGAATCTTTGTTTTTGAAAAAAACATCTAACATATATTAAACATGAAACATTAACTTAGGTGTCATTATCTATTTTTAATATTTTTATCAATTTATTTGTGTGTGCTATCCTTATTATCAAACATATTATTTTAAATTACTTAAATTAAATCAAATTTAAGTCGAACGAATCACAAATAATTTAATAATTTCATTGGTTTAGTAAATTAAATTAGTTACCTGTAATATTAATGAAAATAAAAATTATTTTCATATTTTAGATCTACGAATATTTATTGTTTTGCAACAGCTTTTATTCACATATTATACAAACAGAAAAAAAAATATTATTTTTCAAAACCTTAGACGAAAGTAAATGTAAATCTCATTTTGTATAAGTTTAAATTAAAAATGAAAATAACTAAATTTTCTCAACTGAACATTTTTAGATACCCAAATATTTTTTAAAACTTAATAAATAATATTATATCTCATAAATATTTTTACAAATATTACTCTGCACGTTCGTGCGGATATTAACCTAGTTTCAATAATATACTAGTTTTTTTAATAGCTTATTTCTGCTAAACAATCATATTTTATTTTTAATAAAACAATATTAATAAAAAAGTTATAAATATTGTCGGTGATTGTTGAGATGGCCAAATCACAAAGAATATATAAGTATAATATTGCAAATGGAGTTCGGATCTTATTATAATGGACAGTATTAGATAATTTCACATACGCCAAATCAGAAAGAGTTTAGTTGTTGTGACATTCATATGATCTTTAACATATAATGTCAGTATTGGCTAAAGTAAATGAAATTAAGTACGAGGTATTAATTTTTCTTTTTTAAAGTTGAAATCAATATTTTATTCATAGAAATAATCTGAAAATTGTTAATATCTTTGAAGATAAAAAAAAAACATTTGTCTGAAAAACATTAATGAAAAAAATATATAAAATTTAAAACTAGAAACATACAACCACTATAAGTAAACCTATGAAATTAGAACATATAATGTTAAAGTTGTAAACATACAACCACTATAAATAAGTCTATGAAATCAATACAGAAAATTTCATACAGAAAATATAAAGAATCTAACAAAACTTTTAACTAAAAATAAGATTTGTTAGATTGAAACACATAATCAAAATTATATTACAAAGACTTCAAAAACGAGTAAATATCTAACTATTACTTATAAAATTAAATTTTTTTTTTAAAAAAATTTCTTTTTAAATTTGGTAAAACAGTAATAAAAAAATAAAATATTATCCAAATACGAAAATGATTAAAAAATAGTTATTGTTCCAAGAAAAATTATATAATACTTAGAATGTGTGATTGTTTGGATGAATTTTTGAGTTTTGTTTTTTGGGAAGAGTAGTATGCAGCTTTCAAACAAAAGTCTAACGAGATCTTGTATACATTGTCAAACGAGTAAGTCAAACATCCACAAGAATCAACGTTCAAGTCAATTCATATCCTACTGGAAACATGAATTTGGAAGGATAAATATGGTAGAGGTGTTTATGGTTTGGGTACCCTGTTCGATGATAATGATACCTGTTTAATATTTGGTAAAGGTAGAAGCATAATAGATGGACTATGATAAAAGTGGGATAGAAACTCTTTTTTCATGGGAGAACAGTAGAAATACATGGGAAGAAGAAAGCTTATCTCGACTAGTATTCCTTTCGGAGACGACAAGCGTGCATCTTTCAATCTTGTTGTATGACCAGAGTCGAGGCGAGATGTAGTGAGATTGAGATCGACCGCCCTCCTCCACTTCTCTCTTTTTTGGTGCATTCTCTTTCTCTAGAACTGGCCTTATATCCAGCTTTTCATTATTTGATCTTTGGTAGGATTGGCCTCTCTTTTTCTTTAACCTTAAATTTTTTTTATACATTTTTTTTCTAAACTGTTTCATCAATACGGCACACTGCAAAAGCAGGTAAACTAGTGCAGCATAGTTTAAAAAGTTCGCCAACTATTTGGGTACTGTTTGCTAGGAGTCGTTGGCACACCTAAAAAAGAAATCATTATTTGGACTAAATCTAACACTGACATACTAACAAAAAATCGGATACCTAAAAGTGGACTCAACAGCTATATATATGTCACACCGTTAACAAAATCTATGATATATATCCTATGCATGTTTCTTAAACTAATCTAAGAATCCAAATGTTCAAAACCTAAATAATTACTCCCATTTGATAAATCTAGATTTGAAAAGCTTGGCAAAGATTGAAAACCACAAAAAGAAATCCCATAGACCAATTCAAAAGGACCTTGATTCGAAAGACTAACGAAGTTATAATTATGGATTATTAATTAATTATTCCAATTCTTTTGTTCTACGGACAAACAAAAAGTCATAAACTATAAAATTATCATTAGACTGAAGCACCGACAAACAAAACAAGAAATCTGAAAACCAAGATTTTTTATTGTTCTAAGATTTCAAACTATTAAACGGAGAAAAAAAATGGCTATAGATTAGTTATCCATTTGCTTGAGTAATGAGATATAATAGACCTTGAGAACGTAACCTGTTTCAAACTACTATAGGGAATCTTTTTCAAAAAACTACTATAGGAAACCTTAAAAAAAAAAAAAATACTATAGGAAACCTTCTCAATAAAGTATGTGAGTTCGAATTTAGATCCAGAAATAGACGTGGTCAAATATCCTAAAACAAAGTTATTAACAAAAAAGTGGATTTATTAAGTGGAGAGTTTAATGGAAGAAGCAAAGAACAAATTAAGAGGATTATTCAATTTCTACGACAGTGGAAGGTAGAAGAATACAGCCATGCTCCAGTTGGCGGTCCACCACTTCTTTTTGTCTTTTCCCCTTTTTTCCTCTCTGTATTTTTCAAAACATATTATTAACACATTGTCACGTTTCATCATGTTGTAACATATTATCATAATTTAGGTAACGATTTGAATAATCTATACTATTATTTAGATTTTAAAAAATAGAGTTTTCTTATTCAATCTCACTAAATACTACTTAAACCATTAATGAAAAAACTAACTTTTTTTAATATTTTCCAAAATTTTCATATTTATTTTTTGATATATCCCAAATTTAAACTTATATCTATTTTTAATTATTAAATCAGTTAATAAATAATCAAAAAGAAATATTTATTGATTCGTTGATATTAATGATTATCAAATTTAAATAAAAAAGTAATAATTTTAATGTATTTGCCAAAATCTTAATCGAATCTAAATAAAATGAAAATAATTTTAATGTATTTACCAAAACCTTAATATTATTGTTTCGATTCAGACCGTGATCCATAAGGTACTGTAAGAACTCAAGTCACACTTAAATGAATAACAAAGAGTTTGTGGGAAGAGGTTTTCTTTATTGATAGACCAGAACCAAAAAATACAATAGATCGGTTTATACGGAAGGTCCGATTAACTGGAAAATAAGTAACTCAGTTGCTATTACACTTTCTGCAGGTGAAAAAGTGATTCCCCTCCTGAAATGAAAACCTCTCTTTTTATACTTCTCATGTTCAATCATCATTAATTTCCTGATTAGGGTGAAAAAGGAAAGTTTTCTTTTTCAGAACCGATCCGATCTCGCCTGATTGCTAATCTTCATTAATGCCCCAATCTGATCCGATCTCCAATGGTATCTTATTCATTTATTGCACTCTCTCTGCCGATAGGGCGATTAGGGTTATCTCCTTAAGCAGGTCGATTTCATCCTTATTGGACCTGATAAAATGGGTACCAAGCCCGCCTCTAACAATAAGCCCCCCTCCCAGTTTGGCGATCGAACGTAGAGAGCACGAAGAACTCAAATTTGGCCTAAGAAGGTTCGAGATCGGCGCGTTTGCAGAGCACTTTGGCAGTTTGCTCGTGACATTGCCATGGAATAGTCAGATCGGGTTCGATTAGATTCGGCCAAGGCAGTAGATCAGGTCCCTTCTTGTACTAAAGTGGAACTGACGCGCTGGTTTTCCTCGATGTTTGAAGTAGCTCTTCGTCTTTTGACCTGTCACGTGTCAGATCTCGAATATATTTATTTCGGGAAATATGAAGAGTCGCTTAAAGAAATGATTACTTCTCGATAACCATTCTCAAATCCTTTATAAATAGAGGATCGCGTGATGCTCCCCTCACTTCTTCACTTGCCCAAAAAAAGGTTTGTTCTCCTCTCTTTAACTCTCTCGATTTTTAGAATTTTCTTTTATTCCGGTAATAGCTCAGCCGCTCTTACTTAGATTTGTTGTTTGATTCTTCCGATATACACCGCCGAGGCTGAGCTGTTGTTCGTGTTCTTAGTCCTTGTGATGGGAAGCAAAGATCGGGGAAAAAGGGTTAAGGTCGTCTCTTCGGCCAGTTTTGAAGAGAGTACTACGTCTTCTGCTTTCCGTCGCCAAGTGAAACTCCTGAATAAGACGTCCT